TCACCTTGACCTTGGTCAGGGTTCCATGGCTGCCCTGAAGGATTGAATTCATCATTGTGAATCTTGACCAGCTTTGGGAAAGTCAGCAACTCTGCAGGATTCTCTGGGTCAGGCATGCTGACCTGCAACGACTCCCCTTCCGTGACCACCTTTTGGAGCAAGGGAAGCTGCAGATTCGATCTTGGGTAAGTCAGCTTGAAGTCATCAGGGTTGTACTTGGGTGCCGGATCTGCAGCATCTGATTTCACCACCTCTGGGATCGCTACAGTGCTGGGCATGCGGTAGTTCTTGCTGCGGATCTTCACCTTGACCACTGAAGCCAGGTCCTCTTTCACATTCTCTGCAATGACATTCCTGCCAGCTCAAAACATAAGAAATGCAATGTGAGTCGACTTCAATGCTGTTATTATTGCGCATATTTCCTTCAAACAAAAATAATATCAAATTAAAACCTGAACTTCCAGTCCTGATCACACCCTTCTCATGTGCCCAAGACACACCAACAAAGGCTAGGCGAGGGACTTCTTTGTTGCTCCCGCAGTTCAGCTCCACACACCCTTTGCCAGGCTCGGAGTCATACATCAGCATGTCGGCCACCAGCAGGAAATCATCCTTCTGGAGAATGGACCCCTTGCACAGCTCAGTGATTGAACTACAGAACACCTGAACTCCTGAAAACCACTGTGCTGTGTCCTGTCCATGGGCCACTTTGCCCTGGTCAAACCCCAGTGGGGCTTTCCAGTTCTGAAAATCTTTCCTTTCCATCGCATTGAGGAGGAAGGGGAAGGCACCTCTCTTGAGAAGGCTGCTGTTGCCAAAGACATTGTTGTAGGAGCGGGTGCTTTTGCTCACATCCCTGGTCGACTCTGCAAGGACAAGCCATACCTCAAAACCCAACTCTCTGTCGGAGGAGTAAAAGGTCTCTGAGTTCCACAGTGCATTGACTTTGCGCACAGAAAGACGGTGGGATGGATCGTTGAGCTGCTGCCACAAATTGTTCACGTGGTCCTCGATGCTGGCAATTCGTTCATCTCCAGCAGAGTCTCCCTTGCCATACACTGGCTGGCAGGGTGGAATGACAACATGGATGACTGTCTTTGGATTCTCACTGCATGACACTGCAATGGTGCTTGCCACTGCTGGGATCAGTTTGCTGGCTCTTGCTCCAGCCTTTGGAAAGTTCCATTCAAAAATACATGGGATGCCACTTGCATCCTTCAGCTGCTCGTCAGCAATCATGGCCTTTGCTTGATTGACCAGGAGTATTGCACCAGCAACATCTGCACAGCTGAACACCTGAATGAACTTTGTGCTCTGCTCCTGCCATGCCTCCTCCAAGGCCTCCTGTTGTCGAGATACTTGGCGGTTGAAGGAACCCATGGAGCTGTCCTCATGCGCCTTGACCTTTGCCATGTGGGCTCGCCAGGCTTTCTGTTCTTGCCCCAGTTGCTTGTGCAAGCGTTAGAGGGATTCCTGCTTCTCTGAACTGCCTAAACTCAAGAAGTTCAGTCCAGACAAGGCATCCTGTTGCTCCAGCAAGACGAACTGGAAGTCGCGCGGTTGGAAGTCCTTTCTCTTGGCGAGGACTGCTGGCAAAATCTGTGTGTCCAGCTTGCCAGCCAGCCAATCTGATTTGACTTGGTCAAATCTGTCTGGCTTCAGAGCTTTTTGGAAATGGTCATCAAAGTAACACATGGCTTGTGCCATGTACCACACATTCAACTCTTTGCCGCTGTCACGCATGTCGGCGGCCACTGCACCATTCTTGTAGCTCAACGCCTGGCCAGCTTTCAGGGCTTGCTGCATGCGGCGATCCCATTTTCCTGAAACACGTTGAGCCCAAGTAGTGACTTTGTCCCAGCTGTGCTCATGGATGGCATGCCACAGGGGGTTATCCTCCTTCTTCCTTGGAAGTTGCAACATCAGGAACAAACAAGATCTGAATCCATCAAAAAGATCCAGGCCAATGCATTCTTGTGAAGCCAAGTCTCACTGGATTGGGGAAAGTCGGCTGCAGGAAGTCTTTGTTCAAGAGCGAGAGGGGAAAGGCAGTGTCCTGCGGCTGGTCAGCCATGTGAGCCTTGGCAATGATCTTCTGAAAACCTGGACCAGCTGAATCTAGCAAAAGGATCGCTGTCATCTCATTGCTGTGGATCTTGGCTTTAGTGACACTCAACTTGTTCTGCTCCACCATGATGCTGCGGAGATGCGCATCTCGAGTCCTCAGGCACACAAGTGAAGAACAACTGAAACTCCTGGACTCCTCAACTCCTGGACTCCTGAAAGCAGCCAAAACTTGTTATAAACAGCTGAGACCAAGGCCCTCTGGCTGGTGGTCTCTTGGCCAGAATTCTTTGGTAGACACTGTAGTGCTGGAACAAAGAAGGTTGGACGCGCGTCAAAGCCTCCCGCTTCTGGGCAAATGCATTCAGCATTGCCTGATCATGATTGGTGGCAGTAACAGCTGTGCAGTGAATCACCAAGCAACTCAGCAACCTTGTAGCCACCTTGCGCTCGAGCTTTAGGTCGCCCTTCACTGCGTCAATAATCTTGAGCTTGCAAGCATAGATGCACAGCAAGAATGATGACATGATGGTCGAGCTGCCAATGAACATGGCGATGCTGAACGCCGGAATCACTGAACCTGGCTTCACTGGATGCTGGTTGAGCTTGCAAACATAGTCAAAGAGGATCTCCAGGGGGTATTTGTTGGTTTGGTTGCCCTTCTGATTGGTCATGAACTTCTGGATGTTGTCCCTCCTAAGCTGAACCAATCCTGGAATCTTGCTGAACAAGCTAGCAACATGGATATTGACATGCCCATGCTTGGCCAAACATGCATGCAACCCAAGGCTCACAGCATAAGACTGAACTGGCCCCTTCAGCTGTGAGTCCTCCAAGAAGCCAAAGTTGTGCAACCTGATTTTGAAGCGGACTGGCACATCATTGTGGACCAGAACTTCTGGAACATCAGAAGTGATTGTTCCATTGTCTGGGGCTGCCAAAATCTTTCGGCATTCTGACTCCAGATTGGAAAAATCTGTCATCAGTTGGTTCTTGGCAGTTGTGTTTGGAAAAGTTCTCTCCATCCACTCATGCACTGAAGCAAGACTGCTGTCACTCATGTCAGCTTGCAGCTGTGCAAAGATCTTGCCATACCACTGATTCAACTTCTCCTGGCTTTGGCATGATTGGGCGTGGCAAGCAACAAGAAACACATAAGCCAGCAAATTCAAAAACATAAATGTGCCTCAGTGGAAAGAGCCATTCCACAAGGCTCTGCACTGAACACCTGAACTCCTACAAACTCCTGGAGCCAAGGCTTGGAAGGACATGCTCTGTTGCTGCTTGATTGTTTCTCAACAGCATTGCTCAATTGCAACCCTGCAAATCTAGGGAGGGGTCTCCTCTAAAACATATTTACTGTTTTTTATTTTGAACTGTTTTTTACCTAATAATAGGAGACCCCTAGCTTAAGCAACCTATGTTGCACAAAAAAAATCATTGTAGGCTCAAACGTTTCACAGCTTGTACGCAAGTCTCGATTCTTTGCTGCAGTTCGTGGCTCAGTAAGTCTCCCATCAGCACTCCCTTCTAGTGCTGAACCCCTGAAATGCTGAACACCTGAACTCCTGGGCTAAGCTACCCTTGCACACATATGCCAGGTTGTGTCTGGCAAAAAAGGGAAATGAATGTTGGTGCCAGCTGGCTGTTCCCTAACTACACCATATCTTGCCCTATGTGGGTGGGCAAGAAACTGAAACTGAACACTCTCATAGTGTCTCTCACGCACAAATTTGTGAAGCGCATCCGCAGCTTCTGGCATGTCAAACTTGGTTTTGCACAACTGAGCTAATTTGATGTAGCTCTGGATCTCACTCTCAGACATTTCTTTCTTGCCAATGAGCTGGCCAGGCTGGCTTTCTCGAATGGCAGTATGTCGTCCAGGTGGTGAAAGGTAAACAGGCGGCTGCAACAAGCAAGTGTCACGGACAAAGCCTTTGACGCAACAGTAGACTGCCTCATCCTCTTTTGGCTCCTCAAGCATCACTGCATACTTTCTTGGCAGATTCTTGCCCTTCATGCACATGAAGCAATGAGGGGTGGGAATGCCAGCACGAGGCTTGAAGCAGTTCCAAATATCCTTAGCGCCACACAAAATTCAAACCATGTTGCGCCACAAAGGAAGCAGCTTCACAGCCAACTAAGGGCAAATCAACTCCCAGTGGGTCCAACCAAGCACTGAAGTCATGAACTCCTTGAATCATGTTTGTCATCAGCACCTCCTTCCGGGCAGCGACCCTTGGTTCCAGTTTTGCCTTGATGTGATCAAGCATGGCATCTGGAGTCTGCCACTTGCGAAGGCCAATCAGTATAGCCTGCAACAGCTTTTGCAAGCAAACCAGAGCAATTCGGCTGTGGCTATGAAGTTAAATTGTGAGTTGCCAAATCAGTGCAGCATACAAACCCAGTCAGTCCTTGATCACACCAAACAACTGGTCAACATCCTGGCAGGATGCAAAAGGCTGAGAGAAGCTGTGGCCAATGTATGGATTTGAGCAGTGGCCTCATGTGTATGTCCCACCATAAGGTGGAACATAGTGATGGAGGTGAAGTACTCTTTGGCAGTGAGGTAAATCAAAGGTCTCATGGCCAGCTGGTTGTGACACTGTGCTGGGGTGTTGTCAGCCACAAGAACTAAATGAGGTGGCACTCTCCGGCCATCCCTCTCAGCTATCTTCCACACCATGTCCAGGACACGGCAAACCACCTCACACCAGTGATCCTCAGCTTTGGGCTGCTTCAAGCTTTTCTTGGAAACCAAATAAGAAAAATTGATAGACACCAGATTGCTCTTTTACCTAGCAAGGCTCAGCTCCATGGTTTTCGAGCTCTGATGTGCCGAACAAGAAGGTCCCCCATCCGTGGCATAGTGCAGCTGTGATCACAAGCTTTGGGCGGACAATGTTGTCAAGCTCTTTGGAAGGCTTGTCTTGGCCTAAATGGGGCCATGCTGTCCCCCACTTACCCATGCCATCAATAATCACAGTCAGCACTTCCTGGTCGTGCACTGAAGAGAATCGTAAACCCCAATAAAGTGTACGGTCTAAGTACTGGTGTCGTTGATGCTCTCGAAGACTGCGAGCAGCTCGAATCTTGGCTGGAGTGGCCCAGAAATGATTTATTTGCCACATCAACATTAACAATAAGTGAATAAATAAAACCGACAAAATATTTACCAGCTGATTTGGCCTAGGCACCTTGGTGCTCCAATCAGCTTTTGGGCTCCTGAGCACAGAATGAAAGTCAAAGCAGGTTTTGCATTGACCATGCTGAGAAATCTTTCTCATGACCAGCACATAGCGCCAGTGGCTGTAATAGCGCTTCGCAAATGTCTGGAAAGCAGGGCACTCACCATCTCCTGGATTTCTCTCAACATGAATGTCCCATTCAGCTGTAAGCTGCCAGTATAGATCAATCAACCTTTGATGTTGAATGTATCTTATAGGCAAGCCCAAGGTGCCACAGTGAGCCTTCTCTGCTGCTTGAACATCTGCTGGAGGCATGCTGAGCCAGTCATAGCTCCAATGCTCCCATGCATCAATGCTGGTCATGTCTCTCTTCTGAACCCCTGAACTCCTGGACACCTGAACTCCTGAATGACTGCCCAGTTGTTTTGCCTTGGGGTACATTTGGGCCTCCTCTGGCATTGGCTCAGCAGCTGACGCATGGAGTGTCCGGAAAAAATGGTCACATTTGGCAGTCTGCACTGCCGCCCGGGATGGGCTACCAAAGCCCGACTTAGACAATCTCAAATCTGGCTGCCCACTGATCAGCCTGCGGACTGTTCTTTGACTACTTCCAAGAATCTCACAAAACCTCTGAAAGCAAATTGCATAGCCACACATGTGCCACTCCACTGTCTCCTTCACTGCTTCAGCATCTCTGGCAATCACGCTATTGTCTTGGTAGTAGTTGCAACGCAGGAGATGGCTTCTGTCAGGAAGTGGCAGCTTGACCCACTTCTCCATGAAACTGCAAACTTCTTGATGTGAAATTACACCTGCTTTGCATCCTGGGCGTGCACAGTGCTTCCGCTTGCAGTTAGATGAGAGAACACAACCTAGTCGCTTTGGGCATGCTCCATTTGTGTCATACTGGCTGGCCTCTTTTGCAATTGGTGCCAAATCCGAAGCAAGCCTAAGAGCAGCATCCAAATGGATCTGAGAGTTATGGGTGGTGAGCTTGCTCCCTGGATTGCTAGCCCATGGATTCTCCACCAACATGCTGTCACCATCAGCTGGAACGTCATCCTCAGCAACAAACCGCCATGGATCTTCACTCTGGTTCTGGTGAGTCTCATGAGCCCAGGGGTCCTCTTCCTCCCCATTCCAGGAATCATTCCACGGGTCTGGCTCAGGCACTTCTGCTTTTCTCTTTCGGCTCCTCTTTGGAGCCATGGAAAGTGCAAAAATCTGCCAAAATACTTTCTCAACACTTGAGCCAGGCAGTCATGACTAACATGTGTTGCACATGGACAAGGCTTCAAACTGCATTCCATGCTTTGCCCCACAATGTTCACAGTCTTGAAGTCTTTATGCTTCTCTCGCAAGACACTTGTACACTATCAAGGGCAAGAGCTGCTAGAACTCCTGAACTCCTGAACACCTGATCAAGCCCATGGGTCAGCTTCTGTGACAGTGTCATTAGCAGCCCAAGGATCAAAAACTTGTGCAGGAGCTGTGGCAACCTCGCACTCCCAAGGGTCACCGGATGACCATGGGTCCACCTCCTCTGTCTTCTGGCTTTGCTTCAGCTTCTTTTTAGAGGTTGTGCTGGCAGGGCCTCCCCAAGGATCATCTTCCACTGCATGCTGCTTTTTGATGGGGACTTGCGGCTTCCAAGTTGACATTTGCATCCATGCTGCCACAATTGCCTGGCCAAGAGCAGGTGGATAAAGGCCAGACTGCTGTAAAAGGTTCTGTCTCCCATCAGTTTTCAGCTTTCCATCATCAGTCATTCTTTTCAGCATCAAAGGCTCATGCTGCCTGCTGCATGAGCATTTTCGGACAGATGCCTCCAGCCACCCACCAGAACACATGAATTTGTACTTCTTGAGCATCTTTTGGCCAGGAGTGTTGTCATAAGCGCACCGGTCAAGCAAGTGGTAATGCACAACAGATAGGCTCGTCAAAATTCCTGACCAAGGTTGGTGTCAGGATTTTGCAAATTGAATAATAAGAGAAGTGATTGTCATCAGTCTTGGTTGGCTGAGCCCCTGGCTGATGTGCTCATCTAGGAAGGTGAAGATCATAGATCCAGCTGGATTCTCTATAGAAGCTTCGGCGTCACGAAGCAGTGCCAGGCAGAACAGAAAGACTGAAAGCCTGGCCATGAAATTGCCTAAGTTGGTGCAGCTGGCAGATGGTGCATGCCACTGACCCTTGCAAACTCTGACAGTGAGGACTATGAAGCCAAAACATGCATGCCAAGTTGCCATCACACACAGCTTCCCAAGCAACATTGCCCTCTGGATTTTTCGTGGTCCTTTGGTTCTGGTTCCTACATGCAAAGCCAAATGTTTTGCATTCTGGCGCCATGTGCGCCAGGCCACCAGGCTTCAATCGCATCACCAATCTTACAACTGACCAGAATCCACTCCTTGCACAAACGCTATCCTGGCCATGAGTCAAGTCATATGCTTCTGCACAAAACCCCTTCTCTCTGGCAGCGTGGACAATAGATTTTGCTTCTGAAAAAATCTCCACAACATCCAAATCTCTCTGGCCACAGGAAAGTGCAGGATCTTCCACCACAGATGCCAGAGTAGCACCAAAAAAGGCAAGCTTTAGTGACAGCAAAAGGCATTGCTTTTGTGATGGTGTCAGCGGCATGCTGAGGCTGGGGCTTCTCAGCCTTCAACTTCAACTACTGAACACCTGAAGTCCTGAACCACTAAGACCCTGCAGCTCGAAAGGTGCTCAAACTGAGGCAATGCATTGCAGGAACCTAAAGGTGCTCAAACTGGCTTGGCAGCAGGTGGCATATTTTCAATTCTGAGGCTGGTGCACATTTGTCAGTGGAACCTCCAACTCCTGAACACCTGAACGCCTGAACTGAATTAGTCTGCCCTGGCTCAAAGCAAGAGGCATTTGAATTACCAATTATCATCATG